ATTTATGCACAATTCTCAACAGTAAAAGATTTCGGGCCTAACTGGGTGCTGATTAGCCCAAGAGGACAGACGGCATACGATTCCCGTGTGGACGCCCAGGCCCCGAGCCTCTCCTGTCTCACCTAGCGCAGCTCCGCCACTCACAGATGCCTGGCGTACCCCCAGCCCACGGGGGATACCTGGCTTTTCCTGTTAAAACTACGGACAAACGCGCGAATCCTTCAATTAACACTTTATCGATTAATGAACGAAAAAGAAAACAGAAAAGAAAAAAAAAACCCCAGAAAAGGATGACAGTAGCCATGATCGTGGCGCGCCGAAAGGGGAGCAACGGGACATTTCCATCGCTATCTCCACTTTTGGCCTAAATCTGCTTTGCCCCGAAGATGATCCCTTTTATAGGCAGCCCAATGGTGACCTGCTGATCCTCCCGGGCTGATCTTACTACCTTACCCAATTCATTTTCGAACTCTCTGTGGAAGGGAAGCGGGAAGGAGAAGGGGGGGGGGCGAGGGCGGAAGGGGATCAATATTTACAAATTCTTCACAATCCATCCCGAGATCCATGGATGCGCAACTCTCGATGCTACTTTAGCTAACTGTTGTCGGATTTATTCCTGGTGCTAATGTAACTCGTAACTTCATCATTCTCGTATTTAGAAATCCTTCACCCACACCATCCTGTACAATAGTTCAAACGGATCCTTTCACCACAATGCCGATCTTTCACTTTGCTCTAAATACAACTTGGGTATCATTTAACAAGTCGCTTTGTCCATCTGTTGTCTCTCATTCTTGCCACTGACCAGTGCAAAACTCTTCTCCATCGATATTACTCCGAGCAAGTGTTCAAAAAAAAGCGTGCTCTTTGAATTCTTCACAGTTTAAAAAAAAAAGCTTAGACAGTGAAAAAAATTAAGATGTGTAGAGGCTGCTAAGATGGGCGCAAAAAAAAATAATTTTTTTTTAAAAAAAGGCGTAAAAATCGTTTAAAAAAAAAATCCTGCGGAGTGGAAAAAAAACTGCTAAAATTACACTGTTGCAAGAAAACTTTTTTTTTAAAGATTACACATTTCTGTAAAAAAAAAAACAAAAGCTACGTACAATTAACCAAAAAAAAATCTTACTTATTCCCAGACAAAATAAAAAGGAAAAACTACCATTTTATTGGAAGAACAGCAAAAAAAATACAGCAAAAATCATTGCGAACTTACTGCGAGAAAACAGTAATAATATCGCCCTCGTTCAGTTCATACGGCAATCCACCCACGTAAATCCATGCTGAGCCG